GATGGACATTTGGGCTGATTCCAGCTCTTGGCTATTGTGAAGAGTGCTGCAATGAACATTGGGAAACAAGTATACCTTCGACTTGATGATTTCCATTCCTTTGGATATATTCCCAGCAGTGGGATAGCTGGATCGTATGGTAGATCTATCTTCAGCTGTTTAAGGAACCTCCAAACCATTTTCCATAGGGGTTGCACCATTATGCATTCCCACCAACAATGTAAGAGAGTTCCTTTTTCTCCGCAACCACGCCAGCATTTATCGTTCAGCGTCTTTTGGATTTTAGCCATCCTAACTGGGGTGAGATGGTATCTCAGTGTGGTTTTGATTTGCATTTCCCGGATGCTGAGTGATGTTGAGCATTTTTTCATATGACTGTTGGCCATTTGCATATCTTCTTTAGAGAAATGCTTACTTAGCTCTTTTGCCCATTTTTTAATTGGGTTGCTTGTTTTTTCCTTGTAAAGTTGTTTGAGTTCCTTATATATTCTGGATATTAGTCCTTTGTCAGACTGCAAGAGTTTTTTTGTAGAGGCTTTAGGCTGTTCGATATATAGGATCATGTCATCTGCAAACAGGGACAGCTTGACTTCTTCTTTTCTAATCTGGATGCCCTTTATTTCCTTTTCTTCTCTGATCGCTCTGGCTAGTACTTCCAATATTATATTGAATAGGAGTGGTGAGAGTGGGCATCCTTTTCTAGTTCCTGTTCTTAAAGGAAAAGATTTCAGCTTTTCCCCATTCAGGATGATATTGGCAGTGGGTTTGTCATATATGGCTTTAGTTATGTTGAGATACTTTCCATCTATACCTATCTTATAGAGGGTCTTAGTCATGAATGAGTGCTGAATTTTATCAAATGCTTTTTCAGCATCTATAGAGATGATCATATGGTCCTTGTATTTGACGTTATTTATATGGTGTATCACATTTATTGATTTGCTTATGTTGAACCAGCCTTGCATCCCTGGGATGAATCCCACTTGATCGTGGTGAATAATTTTATGTATGTGTTGCTAGTATTTTAGTGAGGATTTTTGCATCTATATTCATCAAGGATATCAGCCTGTAGTTTTCTTTTTTGGTTATATCTTTACCTGGTATTGGTATCAGCATGATGTTTGCTTCATAGAATGGGTTTGGGATATTTGCATCTGATTCAGTCTTTTGGAGTAGTTTGTAAAGAATCAGCATCAATTCCTCTTTGAATGTTTAGTAAAATTCTGCTGTGAATCCATCTGGTCCTGGGCTTTTCTTTGTTGGGAGCATTCTGATAACAGCTTCAATCTCCTTTATTGTAATTGGTCTGTTCAAATTTTCCATGTCTTCATGGTTCAGTTTTGGGAGCTTGTGTGTGCCCTAAAATTTATCCATTTCCTCTGGATTTTCAAATTTGTTGGTGTATAGTTGTTTATAGTAGTCTCGAATGATTCCTTGTATTTCAGATGAATCCGTTGTAATATCGCCTTTTTCATTTCTAATTTTTGTTATTTGAATCATCTCTCTTCTTTTTTTTTGTTAGCCATGCTAATGGTTTGTCAATATTGTTTATTTTTTCAAAAAACCAACTTTTTGATTCATTGATCTTTTGTATTGTTTTTTGGGTTTCAATTTCATTAAGTTCTGCTCTGATCTTAATGATTTCTTTCCATCTGCTAAATTTAGGTTTGGATTGTTCTTGTTTTTGTAGTTCTTTAAGGTGAAGTGTTAGGTTGTTCACTTGCCAGCTTTCCATTCTTCTGAGGTGAGCATTTAATGCAATAAATTTCCCCCTTCATACTGCTTTTGCAGTATCCTACAGGTTTTGGTATGATGTATCTTTATTTTCATCAGTTTCAGTAAATTTTCTGATTTCCTGCTCGATTTCTTCTTGGACCCATATGTCATTAAGTAGAATGCTGTTTAATTT